GCAGGGGAAGTCCACCAGTGGGGAGGCAGGGGGAGATGAGGGTAGCACTGCTTGGGAGTGTAGAGAACCATGTAAGGTAAATACCCTAGGGGTTCAGGCATGTCTTTACTCTACTCACCTAAGCAGTACCTCACCATCTACACTGCTATTTACAGCTGTACTAGTGGAGTGTGCAGGGTATGTACTCTACACGCCACCATAAAGAGTGTGCAGTGTATATGTACCTTTAGTGTCTGAGATGAGGAGAATAAGACCTAGAGGATTTCTTAGATTATTTCTCCCGCCGCCTTGCTTTTTCACATTTTTGAGTGCCTGATACCTGAGAAACAATTAAAAGATTTAACCCTCCAGTTGAGTTCAGATAGTTCCCTATTAAAATTGGCATATGGGCATTCTTTGCTTGGGCATTGTTATTTCGTATGTGGGCATTGTTATTTAATTGAGAAAGTTTTAGAAATAACTAGTCTTCTGTAAAGATACACTACAGGTTTATTAAGGTGTGGTGTATTATTGGCCAACAATTTATAAATAATTTGTTAGCTGTTCAAGATCCTGCTAACGCATATGTATTATTTATCTTGCCTAGGAGTGCCTGTCATAGACTAGGACCCAACTGTGGTAGGTGCTGTAAAAATCCAGAACAAAAAGACAAAAAACCAAAGATTGTTCTGTACAAATCAAGAAGAATCTAAGTGTAAGACGAGGCAACAGATGGATTTAGACAGGTAGATGGGGGGGAGTACAAGGAAACAATGAGACGATATGGCCCACATGATAGGTTGTGATGTCAGCACACCAGCAGCTTAACAGTTGTCAAGTTTTTTATAGGCATCACAGCACAGGTGAGTTTGAAGGAGGATAATGAGGTAGCTCTGCAGATGCTTATGGGGAGCTCCTTTTGAAGTGTGAGGGGCAACATGGGGGGAAATAAGGGATTGTTTGAAAATTTAAAAAATGGGCAACACCTCAATAGCGAATAAGAGAAAATATGCAGGGTGGGGATAGACTATGAAGGATCTTGAAAATGAAGACCATTAACTTATGTTTCACGTGATAGGGAAGGGGGAGCCAGTAGAGGGATGCAAAGAGAGGAGTGACATGGGCAAAGTGATGAATTAGGAAAACTATCTTTTTAGCAACATTCTGAGTGGATCTGAGAGGGGCAAGATTGCATTTGTCAAGGCCAGAGAAAAGGATATTGTTGTAATTGAGATGTGAGGTGTTGAGAGCCTGGATGAGAGTTTTACCTATGTGGATGGACAGGAAAGAGAGATTATGCAGAAAGAATTGGTAACAGTTAGCTATAGCCTGGATGTGAGGATGTAGAGAGAGGTCCATGCTGAAGATGACACTGAGGTTACAGGCCTTAATGACAGATAGAATGGGGGTGGAGTCCACAGTGACAAAGAAAGAAGGTAGCAGGAAGGAGAAAGATTAGAAGCTCTGTTTTAGTCTTGTTGAGCTTGAGCTGGCAACTACACATCCACAAGGAGATGTCAGAGAAACAAGATGAGATTTTAATTTGGACAGAAGGAGACAGGTCTGGAGTAGAGAGCTAAATCTGTGAGTTGTCCTCATAAAGATGGTAGTTGAATTTGTATTTGCAGATGAGATTACCAGCATGTAAAGTGTAGAATGAGAAGAGACGGAACCAGGGCAGAACCCTGATGAACCTCCACAGAAAGCTGGAGGAGGGGAGGAGGAGGATCCTCCAAAGGCCATGCTAAAGGAACAATTATAGCAATAGGAGGAAAACCAGGAGAAGACAGAGTCACGGAAGCCAAGGGAGGACAAGATTTCAGAAAGAGGCACTTGGTTGACAGTGTACGGGTCAAGGAGGATGAAAATGGAGTATTGGTTCTGAACTTTGGCTAGAAAGAGGTCATTAGAGACTTTGACAAGAGTGATTTCACTGAAATTCCAGGGGTGGAAGATGTACTGGAGAGGGTCTGGGGTGGAATTGGAGGGGAGGCGCTATGAACAGTGATTGTAAACAGCTTGTTCAATGAGTTTAGAGATGAAAAGGAGATGGGACAGTAAGTAGTTGGAGAGGCAAGTGGGATGAAGGGAGGTGTTGTTTTTTTTTTCAGATGGGAGAGACTAAAGCATGTTTGTATCATGAAGGGAAAGAGAAAGAGGAGAGTGAGATGTAAGGGTGGGGGAGGGGAGTGGGCATGACAGAGATCAGGAGATGGGATGCAATAATTGGGAGAAGTTGAGGGGTTAGAGGAGGAGAGCAGATGAGAAACTTTTGCATCAGACTAGGGTGAAGGAGAGAGTTATAGAAGGAAAAGGGAAGGCAAGCTGAGGGGAGGGAGAAGGTCATGTCATATTTTGTCAGTTTTCTCTTGGTAGAAATGGGCGAGATCCTGTGCAGAGAGAGAATTTCTCTCTAGGTTGGCAACACAGATTACAGTATTCATTTGAGAACCACAAAGAAGAAATTACTGTGCTAGGCCACTTGTCCTTCCCTATTTACTTTCTTGTGTAGGAACGTATATAGAGATTGAGCAAGCTAGTGTGACAGCTTGCAGATCCTGTTGATCAGGTCAAGGATTGTGACCAGATTAATTACTAGCAATTTTCTGTGTCTGAAAGTGCCAGCAAGGGGTGCTGCCCTATTCTTTTCAAAGGTTACCCCAAGGGGCAGAATCAGAATAGGCTTGCAATACAGCTGACATACATCTATGGATAAATGTCAGGGGCTGGCAGTGATTCACTTGGAAAGCCTGCAGCAGTTTACCATATCATTACTTACAGTGAGCGTTGTTATGGTTATTATTGCTGAGGAGTTAATGTGGCTGAGATGGGAAAGGGAGGGGCGGGAGGGAGAGTGCACCGAAAGTGTGAAACCTTTTCAAAATAATTTCCTGATGAGAATTTCAATAAACCTTTGGTGAGGAGCTGTGACAGCTAGGCATACCCCATATAACAAGCAAGCTTTATTATTTTAAAAAAGCTCTTCAAGCATGGTGTTACCTTATACTGTATCCACTTGTGCTGCATATCCAGCTAAAAATTCCTTTCTCATGCTTCCTTGACAAGCCCACTTTCTTTTTACTTGAGAATAGGTTTTAGGGACTAAGATTAAATCTATTAAGAACCACGGGATGCCGCAGATGCTGAGCTCTTCTTAAAAATTAGACCTGACACTTGACAGAAAAGCAAAGCTTACTTTCTGTTTTAGCAGTGCTTTAAGGCACCTGCGGTGATGCTGCATCTAAACTGGAGTGGCCATATTTCAAAAGTGAGTGGTCTACGGGCCCTCTGTGATCTCCATGAAATCTTTACTTTGAAGATTCATTAGAACATTCACTGACAGTATGTTATTAGGAAAACTCTTAGGGAAAGTATTCTTGAAGTATTATCAAAGGGGGAGCCCGTGTTGACTGCATTGTGTGACCAGGCATATTATAAAATATATGGAAAGTAAAATGAGCTAGACCTGATCCTCATGGATAAAAGGCTAAATCATAGGTTTATCATGACATTTTAGAAAGGCTTAGTAACCCCTTGTGGAATATCTGTAAAATGTTTCAGTGCTGTGCCATTTCCAATATTACAGCTAGCCGAATAGCATTACAATATGTATATCCCTAAATCCTTTTTGTCTATTATTTAGTCCAATATTGAAAAATTATTCAGGACCACATATTTACACTGGGCCTGCAGATTGCATTCAAATCTCTTAAGAAATAATAATTGATAACTGTCCTGTTCATGACTGTGAAACACTGATAGCACTGGCTAGAGCTTGACATGTTGTACACAAGTGATGTATAAGCTTCCCCACAAAGCTCTGCCAGTGCACCTCATTCCTGACCTCCTAACTGAAATGCATTTTAAGGAGAAGGAACTGAGATGTGATAACAGAAATAGAGTTTTGGGTGGGTTCGATGAGCAGTTCTCTCTCCTCACTCAGATTGAAGCAGCCAGTTATCTGTGTCTACAAGCAGCACTGGCGATAACAAACCCCAGAAGTCTACTAGGCAGAATAAATCAGAAAGGGGTTTAAAATAAGCATATTGAACATATTTTACCCCATCCACTTGGTGAACAAACTGTACATTTATCTGCAGTAGCTCATAGGGCTGTTGTAAGCCTGAATTCATGTTTGTAAAGTTACTTGGATTCCTCAGATGAGGGGAGGCTAAAAGGGCACAGGGTTATATATTATTGCTCTTCAAAAGAATGTCTATGATGACCACAACTATTTTAAACTTGAAAACAATAACAATCGGTACATAATTCTAAAAGAGGTTCTAAAATTGCTGGCATGTGTATAGTGTGAGAGGAGGTTGGCACACTAAGTAGTGGGTGTGTGTGCAAGTATAGATACATGTAATAATAAAGGATTGTTTACCTGATACATTCTGATGGCTACTCCAAATGAATTATTTGCTTTTTCATATATGCAGAAAATGTGTATGCCAAAATTTGCTCATTTAAAAAATCATGTGGATATGAGTAGTAGTTGCTTTTCAGCAGAAAATAATAATATATTTTAACTTTTTTTTTCTCCTCCTACACCCTGAGGTGCATTGGGCATCCACCATTTTATTCAGAGTTCCAGTTTATGTAGTGATGCTGTTGTTTCTTAAGCTTTTTTACTGGAAATTAAAGCGTTCAGGGTAACATTTTCAAAGACTCCTAACTGGTGTAGGAGCGTAAATCTCATTGAAAGTCACTGGGTCTTGGTCTCTGAAGTCTCTTAGGCACCTTTGAAAATTTTATGTTTAAACTATTACATTTAGGCTTGATCTTCTGCGGAAGTCTACGTGAGTTTTTCCATTGACTTTGGGAACTCTTTGTGTACTTTTCTAGCCTGCCTTGTTTTAGCTGACAGTGAATTTTTTCTGGCTGAGTCATATACACCTGGAAGTATGGCAGTGCTAAGTAAAAAAGACACCGTTGAGAAGCAAGGAGACAATGCTCAAACACAGCAGCTAAGTTCTGAGGAATTCTAGCAGCTGATAAGTTTTTTGTTTTTCTTTTCCCAGGGTAATTCTGGCCTGGGGTTCAGTATTGCCGGAGGAACAGACAACCCTCATATTGGGGACGATCCTGGGATATTTATTACTAAGATTATACCAGGAGGAGCTGCAGCAGAGGATGGAAGACTCAGGTAAAAACTTACTACATTACATGCGTTTGGAAACTAAATGTACCATTATTAATTATTTTATAATGCTCCAATGTGTGCTAGGTGTTTCACAGAAGACATAGACACATGGGGCTGAATTCTCCCCTTTGATATGCCTGCACAAGCAGCATAAAGTGGCCAGAGAAGGCTACTGAAGAATTGCCTCTGTGCAGGGGAATTCCCTGCTGGTCTAAAGCTGTCAGAGGTAGCTCTGCCTCTTTCTCTGCATCAGCCATCCCACCTGGCTTAAGAGTGGGCAGGACAGGGGCATACCAGTGTGGAGCTCTGCCACGCCTAATCCCTACACGTACACACTGGAGGAACCTTATTCCAGCGGCGTAGGTTAAGTCTTTCCCTGTACAGCCCTGACTTGTCATAGCTGGGCAGCACTGAATTAAGGATCCACAACGAACTGCCTGCAGCTACCCTTCACACTCCCCTTTGGGGACCCCTTACCGTTCCTTGGCTGCAGCGGTGAGATATGTTTTCTTCCATCTTCAGATGGCCTTTCTTCTCAGATGAGGACCTAACCACAGTGATCTATTCTGTTGCCACCTCCAGGCTAGCTTATTGCTGTTGCTCTTGGGTTGAACGCTGCAGCCACCTGGAAGCAGCAACATATGGCAGTGCCCCTCTTTAAGCAACAACGGACAAAATGAACACGCCATCCCAGTGCTTGTGCTTCCCATTCATTTATGGACTGAATTCAAAGTCCTAGTTCTAATCTGCAAGGCCCTTAGCATGCTAGGTGTTCAGTTATCTCCATGAATGCCTCACCATCTGCCAGCCACTCATCGTATGTCTACATTGCAATTCAAAACCTGTCTGTGGCCAATGCCTGCAGACTTGGGCTTGTGGGGATCAGGTTGCGGGGCTGTTTAATTGCAGTATAGATTTCTGGGCTTGGGCTACAGCCCAAGCTCTGGGACCCTTCCACTTTGCAGGGTCCTAGAGCCTGAGCTCAGAAGTCTACATTGCAATTAAACAGCCCCGCAGCCCAAGCCCTGCCAGCCCGAATCAGCTGGCACAGACCAGCCATGGGTGTTTAATTGCAGTGTAGATATCCCGTTCTCAACCAGGGGTATGCTTACCCCGTTGGGGGTATGCAGAGGTCTTCCAGGGTGTACATCAACTCATTTAGATATCTGACGAGTTTTACAACAGGCTACATAAAAAGCACTAGCGAAGTCAGTACAAACTAAAATTTCCTACAGGCAATGACTTGTTCTATGCTGCTCTATATATTGTACTCTGAAATTAGAGTACAATATTTATATTCCAGTCAATTTATTTTATAATTATATGGTAAAAATAGGAAAGTCAGCAATTTTTTAGTAATAATGTGCTGTGACACTTTTGTATTTTTATGTCTGATGTTGTAAGAAAGCAAATAGTTTTTAAGTGAGGTGAAATTTTGGGGGAATGCAAGGCAAATCAGACTCTTGAAAGGGGTATAGTAGTCCGGAAAGATGGCGAACCACTGCCTTAAGACTTCTGATGCACCAGAGGGAAAATGTAGGTGGAGAGGCCCAGGATAAAATTCTTAGGCTGTGTAGCTATAGTGTTCTGAGTGGTAGGGTCTGAGTTGTAAGAATTCCTTGCCAAAGGAGATCAAATGACCCTAAACCACACTACATTCAAAACATATGGTAAGATTCAACTTTTTGCCAAAGCCTTTTCCTACTAATAAAAAAATAGAATCATGGGAAGGTGGAGTGTTTCAAGCAACTTCTGGATATTTCTTGTGTTATATAAGTAGCTCTGTTTGGCACTATTACTGCTTCTTCTTGTTAATTGTTTGTATTATGGTAGCGCTATGGGGCCATTGTGCTAGGCATTGCACAAACATAATATAGACAGTTCTGGCCCTGAAGAGCTTACAAGTTACATGTAAGACCGTAGACAATGAGTGGGTATAAGGAACAGATGGGAGCATAAGCAGACATTGGCACTTGGATATCATGATAATAGGCACTCAAGATATTTGTTATAGTGCCTAGCATGATTGGGGCCTTCACTTTTAGACACTACCTCCCTAGAAATAGTAAGATATCCAAACAGAATTTATATATTAGCTGTTGAATTTCCAAACAGATCTACTAGTGAAGATATTTAACTATTTTAACAGACTGTTTTAGCTTTTTAAACCATTGTAATGAACAGATTCACTAAAGTTTTGCTTTAAATAAATTATCATATGAAAACAAGTATTTAGTAACTCACTGCTTCGCTAATTAACAACCATGGACTCAACACATGATTTCTTATAATTGCTGTGTTGTAAAATACTTGGAGACATGTTAAATTCACAAAACATAGTATACTAATGCAGCTCTAATCCATATTAAAAACAAAATTGGCAGTTTTTCTCTGCAGCTCAGCAAAGGTTTAATACTAGCAATATTGTGAGTTATCCTGTTAGTAAGACTTAAATTTTTTTTACAAAATATACTACATAATATTTACTAGTATGTTGTGAAATAAATACTTCAAATTGAACTATAGTTTTAAAAATAAATGATAAAAGTGCAATTGGTGTTGTGTTTCTCACTAATTTGGAAGCTTCAATCATTCACAATGGGTCTACCATCATTAGAGTAAATTAGCTAGATGCAACTGTAGTTGAAATTTAATCTGAAGGGCAGGCAAGTATAATGCTTTCAATAAAACTCTGTCCTTCCTAACTGAGAATGATTTTTGAGGCTTGCACATATTTATCTAGGCTTCTGTGGTTTGGAAGGAGGAGGAAAGAATTTCTATTGAAATCAGCTTTATGTAAAATCTGTGAAAACCTGAGCAGTTTTAGAGGAACATAGAGTAGGAATGCTGATACAGATTTTTCAAGGCTCCTCCATAGCCTCCTAATTAGACTTCTGTCCATCTCAACAAGTTGCCCAGAGCTCCTTGGTTGTTTCCCACGTCATTTCCCAACAAACTCTTTTATAATTTCATAATCTATAATCATTTGTATTCACCTTCCTGGCTCTCTCACGCATACTGCACCATTATCTTGTCTTGTTTTTAATATAGTTTGTTATAATTTAATTTTTGTATAGTGAAGTGGCAGAGAAACTTGACATGAAGAAGCTAGTTTTTAACTGCACAAATCTGGGCAGAATGCCAGAGATTTGTTTTCACACAAACTCCATGTTCTCCAGGTTTTCGGGGAGGGAGTGGAGGTGAGAACATTTCTTTTATTCCACAGCTCTAGTTTTCATACTACCACTTAGAATTTGAACTGTTGCTTTTACTTGTGTAAGGGGATCCCTGATTTATCACCTGCTGTTCATATTCCTCTACTCTGCTCAACATTATAGTGCTAGTGAATGATGCAGATTCTGTCCATCTTGTATGAAGACCTAAGAGTTACTTCATTAAAGATTTGCTGGGCAGCCTTTTTGTTCTGTCCTCAGAATCCTCCTGCCCTTTTGAGGCATAATTCTGTTTTCCTGTCTGAACTGTAGCAGTAATCTCACTGTAACTTGGACTTTCTGGAATGTCTGTGACCATTACTGATATGTCATTGAAGGGATGAGTTGTCCCAGGGTCGTCTCCTGTCCTTTTTGGTATTGACATTTTACACAGCAGTGTGTTTATCAATTGCACCCTCTCTGCAGGAACAAAACAAAAACAACATGCAGCCAACAATGATGGCCATGTGCCAAGTACCCAACAGAAAAACAATTTAGAACTCTCTGAATAGGAGTTTGTGATCATGGATAGAGAATGAAATATTTGCCTTGTGTCCATATCTACCTCAGATTCTGCCTGCAGATACTTTAGATTATATAGCAGATTTGATTGTGTGAATAGGGAGCTCAATTTGCTATCTGTTCTTAAACCCCAAAAGTCACTTGCACTGCATTTTTTTTAAAGTGGAAGCAATTTTGTTCTGATTGATTTGAATAAAGGCCACCTGGTGGTGGGATTTTGAAAGTGACCTCCAATTTACAGCAAATGATCCTGCAAACTTCTCCAAATCTTGTTTACCTTTATGTATGTGATTAGTCCTATGGACTTCAGTGGGACTATCTGTGTATGTAAAATTAAGTACAAATGTAACTGTTTGCAGGATTGGGCCCAAGGTGACTGATTTTTTTTTATACTGGGACACAATTTTAATGACAGTGTACAATGCTCAGTTTAGCTTTGTACTACCCCAGCGCCCTTATCCCAACGGAAACATGTCTTTTAAAAATAAACAGCCATTTTATATTATATTCATTTTAATAGAATAATCAATGTACATAGTTCTTTTTCCCCAGGAAAATCCCAAATATTTTACAGCTACTATTTTTTCATACACCACCACTGAAATGTAGCCGTCTCTGGAGTTGAGGGTAGCAGCCAAGCAGGGCAAAACCAGTGTGCAGCCTCTGGTGCAGAGGATATTTTGCCTAAGGGCATTGGGATGAACACCTAATCTTATGAAAGACATGGAGTTTTTAACAATGTCCAGAGAGAAAAGACCTCAGTTATTTATATTGTCTTTGATAGATGGGGAATTTCAGATATTAACTTGTTAATTTCAGGTTGAATTGTATTCTTATGACCTTATTATACTTTTATAAATATTGTAAAAAAAAACAACAGAGCAATCTAACACTTAATTATTGCCACTGTACTGTGCATTGTGGCCCCTCAGAACTTCATGGAAACCACAGGAACAGAACATTCTGCTTGAGAAGCACAGGTCCTGACCAGTGAAGTTCTTCTTCCATCCAGTAGATAGCAGTGTTACACATACAAGGCAAATACTTCATTGCAATATTACTACAGAAGTCCTGAGTTTAGACTGTGCACTTGAAGAAATAGAATTTTCAATAATTTATGGTTGAGTGACCTTTTCTTTTCCCCTTATGTTCTTTTGTCAGAAAGAAAAAAAAATACTGCAGTCAATTTGGTTGCCTGGATGAAAAAATGAGCTTAATTTACTACAGATCTTTTTAATGACTCACTCAGTCTATGGTAATTGAGATTCC